ATATATATATATATATATATATATATATATATATATTTTGTTTTGTTTTGTTTTTTTTTTTCTTTTTTTTTTTTTCTTTTTCTTTTTTTTTTTTTTGCTGATGTGTACTGCAAGCTTGCAAAGTATGAAAAGGGCTACCGCAATTTTTTGTACTTTGTTTTTATTTTATTATTATTTTGTTATTTTATTCTAATGTGGTATGAGAGTGAGACCGCTTTTGAAGGTGGAAGAATATTGCAAGAATATAATGTACAGAAAATATTAAAGAAATTACAAATTAAGTGATGTGAAAGTAGGACCACTTTTGAAAGTAAGAGGGCATTTTTGGAGATAATGTTACCCTAGGTCACTAATAAATTAAAAACAAAATTCTGTAGTTTCATTTTTTTTTAATGAATTAATCAACTCTACACTGAATTAAAAAGATAGAAGGGTCAAATAGGCCTATGTACTAATATTGTTCATCTAACACCATGAATTAAAATATGGTCTATCTAAGCTATTATACTCCTAATTATTTTTCATCTAGCATTTTTAGCAAGTTTCTAACAAATAGCCTATCTAATTTGCTTACATTGATAAATAAAATAAAAATAAAATGCTGACATGTTATTTTTTTATCTGACTTGCTGTTTTTGTCACTTTTTCGGCAGAAAAATTCAATTTTTTTTACGTATTTTCAGATTATGTTGATTTCTTCTACAATTTTCCAGAAAACAGTGAATCTATTTTTCCCGTCAGCTGTGAAATAAGTATGTTATCGCTTTTGTGGTTTTTGAACGCATTTATTGGCATTGGTATTGATTTTGATTTTGGTTTTGGATGGTGCGTTTATGAGGCTCTTCGGTACACACATGAGATTGAGGAACTTGGAAAAAAACTGGTTAATAGACTAAGGGACAACGATGATCTGCATATTTCTCTTCATTTGAGGTATAATAACTAACACGACTTTTGGTTTAATGTTTGAGTTGTAACTTAATTAACCAATTTTCTTTGAGTGTAGATACGAAAAGGACATGCTTGCGTTTACTGGCTGCAGCCACAATCTGACTTAAGTAGAAAACTAGAAACTAAGGAACTTCGCGTTATGAGGTATAATGTGCAGCACTGGAAAGAGAAAGAGATAGACATCGAAGAAATGAGACTGCCCTATGTCCCTGAGGGAAGTGGCTATGTTTTTGAAGGCAATGGGATACCCCTCCACGACAAAAATATAAATTTTGCAGGGCAAATTTATGATAACAACAACATGGATGCATTCCGCTTAGAATACCCCAACGTGTTTTCACACTCAACACTCGTAACAAAGGAGGAGTTCAAATCTTTCAACCCATATCAGAAATCAACATAATCTGAATTTTTCTGCGGAAAAAAAGTGACAAAAACAGCAAGTTAGATGAAAAAAATAACATATTAGCATTTTGTTTTTATTTTCTTTTTCCATGTAAGCAAATTCGATGGGTTACTTGTTAGAAACTTGTTAAAATTGCTAGATGAAAAATAATTGAGAGTATAATAGCCTAGATGGACTATATTTTAATTCATGATACTAGATCAATAATTAATGTTAGTACATGGACCTATTTGACCCTTCTGCTAATTAAAAAAGAAATACACTTAATAATTAAAGTGAATAAATTAATACTAAACCTAAGATAAATTTAAGAGACAATATAGTATCACTTTAAATTAATATATTACTCTAAACAAAGTAAGAACACCATTAATAAAAGGACTCTTGCACTTGAAAGTTGTAAAGCCTTGGGGCGAGAAAGTTCGCTTTCTGTAGGCAAAAAACTCTGATAAGGCGTTTTGTTGGGATGAGGGAATTGAGAAGGAAACGAATTGTAATTTGATGAGAAAAAAATAAAATAGGAAGTCAACAAATTACATTGTTTGGTATTTAGTAGGAAGGAATATAATCATTTGAAATGAGAATGGAAACAGTCAAACAGTAATATAAATACTAAAATGACCTTATGTAATAAATATAATAATACCAATGGCTTTGTCGGGTCGGGGTGTGGGGGGTCCTTAGGGTTGGGGTTCAGCCTTTTGGAAGAATAATACCAATCAGAATCGGAGTAATTTAGTTAGAGTTAATTCTATTTTTGGTCTTAGATTTATAGAAGACAATCCACTTTTAGTCCTTTTTTTTTTTTTTTTTTTTTCAAAACATCTATCTTTGGTCCTAGTATTATTGTGGCATGACCATTTATGGTCCTCCGTCAACAGAATTATTGAAATATCATTAAATAAAAAACCATTTTGATCATTATTTTACAAAGTGGGTTAACATGCTATATTTGTATTTTTATTTTTTTTTATAAAAAAAAATTCATAATTGAAGACCTAAATGCCCTTGTATTTTACAAAATTTAAACAATTTTTTTTTTTTTTTTTTTTGATGGAGGACAAAACCATAATAATGCTAGGACCAAAGAAGGATGGTTTGATAAAAAAAAAAAAATTAAAAATAGAATGTCAACTATAAATATAGGATAAAAAATGGAATTAACTCATTTAGTTATTTTCATGTTTTTTCTTTTCCACGATGACACTGAATTAGAATTCTCATGGAAGAATGTATGAATTGTAATTCCTCAAATGGAGCTAAACACCGTAATTTTAAATGTCAAGAAATTATGTTGTAAAGGAATTATAACTACATCCAACCAAATAGTCTATGAATAGCCATTTAAACTTAATTAGTCAATATTAGTCTTATAATGATAAAATATCGAACAAAGGAATCTATCACTCCAATAGGGAGATCTCAGATCTGTTAAGCAGCATAATCATTATATTCCTGGAATCAAATACAATCGGAATTTTGTTTTGACGGTGATAAAACACAAAATTTAATCTTATTTTACTTAAATATAATTAGTGTAATCAACTGTAATTCAGATTAATATTCTATATTATTTTTTATTAAATTTTAAGTAATTAATTATTTAAAATGTAAGAAATTAAATTAATAAAGATGCTTCTAATTTTTATTATTATTATTATTATATTATATAGAACTATTAGTAGTAAAGCATATCAAAACCAACCGTCATATAGAATATTATAATTATAATAATTTTTATTTGTCAATAGCTAATAAGATTTTCCTAAAAAAAAAAACTTGTTTTATTATTATAAATTTTATCTATATTATATAAAATTCATGCTAAGTAGCCTTTGGTGTCTCTCTTAAATGGGAGGTCACAAGTTCAAATATGAGTGGAGCGACTTTTTATGCTTCAATAAATTGATAAAGTATATATGGGCAGATACTACATTGTAAAAATAATATAAAAGATAAATTGGGCAGTAAGAGGCATTATTATCTATGAGGTGTAAGAGTTGGACAAATGTATGTAGGAGAAGCTAAGGAATGCAAAGATTTACGTAGGGAAGGGTGTTGCAGGCGAAAGTAGGGTGATTGTTATGTTATGAAATTACAGATATATCCTTTCCTTACAGTTAATCTAGAATGTTCTTCTAAGTTACGCTTCTCCACCGCTTAACCCAATTAGCTTATTCTACACATATATACATACAACACCTAGCTTATTCTCATCATCTTCCAATTCCAATTCCATTATTTCCATTTCCATTATTTCATGTATATATATTTTGTTCTTCTGATCTGATCTGATCTGCTGCTCATCGTACCGCCCGCAGGTATTTACTTATTTCCTCCGCTTCTTGCATGCTTAGGTGATGGAATTTCACTTCCTATTCCCATATATATATATATATATATATATATATATATATATATATATATGCTTTAATTGAATAATTGTTTTCTGATTTCTACTCTCCGGAATGCCTTTCGCATCGCATGCATATACACTACCTTTGCCTCGTCTCTAATATAATTTCATTTTGGCACCATCTTACGACTAAATTAAATAACCAATATATTATACTCCGTTTTATTTATATAGCGAGTGTTAGCTAAATAGCTACTCTTAGCTGATTGGGTTAATATGTTTGATTAATTGATAGCATTAGCTGATTGTAGAATAGTCTTTGGTAAATTAGTTGTTAGATGATAGCTGATTACAGGTAAAATGACTTTCTCAGAAAATTAATCGAAAAATAGACCACTACATCAAACTGCAATTAAGCTATCGAACTCAACAAAAAATACAATTGGGTCCCTGAACAACACAAACTCATGCAAATAGACATAAAATGACCTGTGCCTGAAATTATACTGACGTGACAATTATTGATTTTAAAAATAATTTTAAATAAAATAACTAATTAAAATTATTTTTTTTAAAAAAAAAAAACTGGATACGAAGACCTTCGTCTCCATTGCTGGAGACAAAGGGATGGTCCCCGACCATGGAGACATGGTGACAAAGGTTCCTTCGTTTGTAGGAGACAATTCGTCTCCGACAGTTCTAGTTTTTTTTTTTTTTTTTCAATAAATTAATTATTTTTAAAATTGAAAACAACTACAGGTCATTTTGGGTCTTATTGCATGAGTTCGAATTGGTCAAGGACCCAATTGCATTTTTTTTAATTCAATGGTCTAATTACATTTTGGTGTACAGTTGAATGGCCTATTTGACTCTTATTCTTTTAAATTTTAGTATTTTGGAACAATAAATTATTACAAAAAACTAGTTAATTAAACACTCATATTAATTGTTTAACCAAGTCAAATAACTAATAGTAATCAAAACAAGTCAAAATTGACGAATAGGCTAACTATTTCACCAAACAGGGCCATAGTCAATTATTGACATAGATCAAATTATGCCACCAAGGTAAGTCATCAACCATGGTTTACATTATAAGGTGAATAATTGAAATAGATTATACAATACACTATATATAAATGTTCATTTTTCACTAAATAGACTTCTATTACATGCACAAGCCCACTAAATTTGGGACTAGATGTTCCTCATCTTATGATTTCTAGGATTTATCAGTGATCTACGTACGATTTGCTAGTTATCACGTGCTAGGCTTAAAAAGAAAAAAGCACATAGCAAATGCACTATATATCATAATACAATGAAAAAGTCTCCAACATCAAATTATATTGCAGCCAAAGGACCCCTATATATTACAAGTTCTGGGCCAGGAGAACTACAGACAACATCAAATAAATTAAAACACTGACATATTGAATCAGAGTCTCACACAATCACACACACAAGTATTGACATTTTTAGGTAGCTCGCAGTAAGGAGCTAGAGCAGAGGCAGAAAGTAATAACAAGCTAATTAAGGTTCTTATTACTCTCGAATGGGATGATTAGGAATAATAGAAAACATGATTTAATTTTATTCTATTTAGCTTCTCCAAGCGGCCGGGCAGCATACAGTGCAGGATTGATTCAAAGTAAATTGAGGGTTGCTGCTGCTTGCTGCTGTGTACCAACAACCGTCGCCAGGCTGGTGAAATCCACACCCATCTCATTCACTTCCTCCCTATCCTTCTTAATTCCACTTATCTGCAACACATAGTGCACACTTAGTTTAAACTCAATTACCTAAGCCGTCCTTAATGTTTCTTTGTACACAAAGAAATGCAAGTTTTCAAGTGGATGGTTTTATTTACTTGCTCCTCAAGACGCCTTTTTTCGTCTTCCAACATCTTCTCCTGTCCAAAAAAACGTTTAAGATTGACGTTAGGGAACATTTGGATATCAAAATGTGCGTGCTGCATATAAGAGCCACCTCTAGGGTCACGGTCACAAACAACGAATTTAGGGGATCGATCATATATGAGCTCTTGCACTGGTTACTATGGGTAGAATGAAGCCCAGCAGCCCACCAGATGATCCATCCATTGAGACTGGAGTTTTATAACTGCACCAAAGTGCCAAATAGGTATATGCAGGTAACTAAGTTCTAGCTAGAATGTAAATTTGCGAGGGGGGGTAGTAGGCACATACCTTTTCATGTAGATGCGCGATAGATTCCATCAGCAAACAATTCTGCATAGAATTGACATTATTGCATAAATTTTTGTAATGCATAATGCAATGCAAAGGTAGCAGCACTAGGCAAGGGAGTGGCAATAGAAAAATATTATAGATAACTATTTGAGAACAAGAAACCCAGACAAAAGATGGGAAGAAATGCTTACTAAAATCCATAGAGGCTTGAATTTTAATCTTCAAATGTAAAAAAATAAATAAACAATAGGAATTATTTTAGGAAGAAGCAGGCATTATTAGAAAAGTGGCAATTTAGCTATCAATCTTTAATCTGCAATTCACCATTCACAATTCACTAAATGGCATACAACCATGAACTTTTCTATGCATAGCTCTTTAAAATGACATATAATCATTTTATGTGTCTAGACCTAAATCTAGCAGTCAGCTGAATCTTTAGCAATCAACGAGATATAAAGCAGATAAAAACCAAGAAGTAGCATGTTAGGTTTTACGTGTATAATCTGCAGTAATTGTGACTAGTAGGAAGCACAACAGGTGTAGGTAAGATACTAAAAAATAATATATATTCACCAGTTCAAAAAACCAACAAATAAATAAAAAAGAAAAGAGAAATACAGACCTTCCTAGATCTTGTTTCTAGAAGTGCACTCCCAATCTGCTGCTCCAAATGGACAAGATCAGTCACACTAAGCTGGTCAGGTTCCTCAATGTCACTGTGCAAACAGGAGATTTGTAGTCTACCAAAAAATTTCAAAATTTTAATTAGGAGTATGGTCTTGATACCTTTCCAGTGTCTGTACCAGTTCTCCAATTGTCATGTAACGCGAGTAATTAGATTGCTGTTTCCAGAAATAGAGGCTTATTAGCTTTATTAGAACTCCAAAAAGTGTTTATGGCACAGGACATTACTTGGTGCAAAAAATGTCAGCAAAAGTCTGTTGGATAACTACTGACCACTTTGCAAATTTTTTTTTTCACTTTGACCAACAAATTTAAACAAAAGAAAAACAGCAATTCATATAATATACCCCTGCCCCTGCTCTAGCTTTCAAGAGATTTAACATGTTATTTTGTTAGCACTGTCCTAGGATGAATTGATTTATAATTCCTGTCAATTAACAACATACAGGTTCTGTAAATATGAGAAACTTTCAGCAATTACTTGTTATTCCATATTAATGATGAGTGTACATAATAATTGATTCAAGAAAGGACAATTTGACTGTCATGAAAAGATTAGTAGTAAACCTGTACATATTGCCAATAAGCCATGAGCTTGGATACTTCAAGATGTTATTGCTTTTCTAAGGGGGAAAGAAAAGAAAAAGAGCACATCTAAACACAAAATCAGTGAAACTGGTTTCTGGGTTTAAAAGATAGATACCTTTTCCTCTGTTTCTACATGGCTGTTGTATCTTTGTAGGACCCCTGTCAAACTAAAACATTGAAATGGTTTAGATAAAACATCAGAGGGAACATAACAACATATGCCCCATATAAATAAAATAAATTGATAGATCTAAAACTTTTACATATATACTAAAGACATACAGTTGAAACTTACAATCCTTTATTCTAATGTAAATTAATGCATTGTCCTAGCATGATGGGCCTAACAAAACCCACATATAGGGTATGGAAAAAAAAGTTCAGCACAGCACAAAATCAATAATTTGTGTGTATTTTGTGCATAGGCCATGAGAAAGGTTTGAGTCTCCATTTTATGATCCTCTCTACACTTAATAGGGAAGAAACATCCACAGTTGTTAAAGTTCACTGGTTCCCTTGTGCTTCAAGCTTTAAGCACAACACAGAAAAATTCCAACAAAATGAACAAGTGTACTATTTACTTAATACTTCTACAGGCAGTATGACAAGCATATATAGAATTTGTTAGGAAAAACATACAGAATGGCAATTTCAGCAACAAAACTTTGCTGCAGTAGCAATAAGAGCATGCATGTTCATGAAAAAGAAATTGATGGAAACAAGAAAAGTTCCAATAGATTATCAAGGACTAAAACATGAACAAGAAAATAGGATATGCTTGAAGAAGAGAATAGCCTTGAAACCTTGAACCTAGAGATCAAATTATCAATCTAGAGCTATTTTATAATTTCTAGGACAAGCTTTTTTTTTTTTTTTTGAGCAAAATAATGATTGAAAATTTTACTACACATATCAGATTACATTTACATTGAAACAATTAAAGTATCTCAATGGAAGCTCCAACAACATAATCTAATCTAATCCAAAACAAATTTAAAATATATAATATCGCTGCCGTCACCAAGTTCCTGTTGCAATATAGATCATCAATGCCCTCACCATTTATCCATATTGCCAACTTCTCTCTAGTGTTGTAGTAGAAACCAAGCCTTTGTCACCATCATATAAATTCCAAATGTCCTCTTCTCTCCAGAAAACCACCCACATTACTCTCCCTCCCATCAAAATCTCTCTACCTCCTGTATAGCCACCACATGCTTTTTTGAAACTCCAAAGCTACCACAATATACTATCATCCAACAGTTCCTCATCACCAAGAAACTCAACCATAAGCTCTCATGAGCAAAATCCGAAAGATATGAAACACACCACTTCTCCTCTAACAAGAAAGGGGACAAACAAAAGAGAAGACAGCAACACCTTTCCTTCAACTCTTCTTGGTGGCCAAAGACACCACCGAGAATAAATTCTCCAAAAATTTATACTGACAAAGAAGAGGTAATATTGTTTGCCTGCTTCCTTTCTTGAAGATAGAAAATTTGTCATGGTTTTATGTGAGGATACAATGGAGTAAGATGAGATTGTATGGGGTATAGAAAAGTCTAGGGACTTGTGAGATCAGGGGAGCTGACAACTCTAATGTTAACTAGTAAAGCATATAAAAAATAAGGGTGCAATGGTGAGCAAGTAAAGAGCGAAACTAATATGTGATTGTGCATGTTGTCTAAGAGTCATTGAGGATGTGGTTGATGTGGATCATGTTACATGCACGAACCCAAAAGCTAGTTAAGATTAATGCACTTTATTGTCGACTTGTTCTGTGGTTATGCTTCTAAAATGTTGAGTTTGATACCTAAGTTACTTTTAATGTTGCTAGAGTAGTGTAGGGGCAGTATGATAGGGGCTCGAGTCCTAAGTTTGTTGATACCATATGGCGGATGGAGATGGAAGAAAGAAATGGTTCTTTGATACGCACCCAAAGGAATGGGTGGTTTACACATGCAAAAAGGGGAATCAACATTAGAAGGGAAATCGAGAAGTCTGGACAAATCAGGCAGCTTATGCACAGATCAGGGGAGAAGCCTAAATCATGGAATCTAACAGAGATAAATCAGTTTCTCAATCCTTTCCTTTTACTATATTTATTTACTGCATTACATTATAAATTGTAACCTCCTTGTTAGACATAATATGGTAGGATTATATTCCGCATGATCTTAGAGTTTCTGTGTATATTCTTAAAAGATTTATTTTCAGCCCTTACCTTAGTTAGTATGTATATTCTTGTATAAATAGGTGTAATATTTTGATTGAAATATGAGAAATAATACACACCTATTTATACAAGAATATACATACTAACTAAGGTAAGAATCGAAAATAAATCTCTAAGAATATACACAAAATCCCTAAAATCATGCTAAATATAACCTATCATATAATGTCTAACACTCCTCAAGAGAGGAGGGCATCTAATCATCTATTCTAAAGCTTTATTATAGTTGTAGCAGCTGGACAAGTGCATGAAACTCTTGATAGAGGGTGTCTTAATGATAACCCTTTTTCTTCTTGCACATTCAATAAAAGCATTTCCTCTTTCTTTCCCATTTCCTATTTCTTTACTCTAACATATTGGTCCGACTTGCCGCAGAACGACAAACACACGAATGATTGTTGAGACAAACACACGAATGATTGTGGACTTTACTCTCATCTAGAGACTCTAATTTATAGTGCTAGGAAATAAATAATTATAGAAAAGGAGATGATTGTTGAGATGATCATGCCTTTGATTTATTTTTGTCAAATCCCTTGAGTTAAGCCTTCCCTTGTATATTATGATTTGCTTAATTTGCATCCTTCCTTTTTCTGCGTGAGTAAACTATCCATCCTTTTTGGTGCATATCATCGTCACCCGCCAATGAAACAGCCTTGTCAGACAAGGCTAGAGTGGAAAAACTACCTTATATTGTCTGATTTTGATTTGGTTAGTTACACCAGGCTCGTTTCGTCATTGTCATCCATTGTTGCAATTAGAGTTTGCAAGGATTTATTTGGGCATACATGAAGTCCTTTGGCGCGCATGTCCAAATACTCTTTGCTAGAATAATGTCATGCTAGAGCTCGTGATGTTAACGTGCTGGAATTACACACTGAAAACTGCATAGCAGGAAACGCGGGTTGTCTTTGGGAGGAGAAGGAAGATGTTTGTTCGCTACCAGAGAATTGAGACTGGGTTGGAATGGGTTTGGGCTGTGAATAATTCAAAAAAGAATTGGTTTGGTAATTCTTCCCAAGCCCATTGGACCAGGTAGACTCATTATGTGAAGGAATTATCTGGAGCGCTGCATTTTGGGGAGAGAAATTCAATTTCTCATTCTGCAGCGCAAGCGAGCCGCATTGCTGTTGGGAGGTTAGTCATATCACTCGGTTGGAGTCACATCCGAATTGCAGGTTTCAAGCCATTGAGAAAAAGTCCTAATTGAATGTGAAGAACAAGTCCGGGAATTTGGGCAATTCGAGTTCGAAATGCAGCGATGAATTCATCCACCAAGTCTGTTTGACAAAGAGCGGTGAGTTGTTCAAACGGTAGCCCAGGCAATTTTTCACTAAATTCTTTCAAAAGGTCGTGTGTGAATTGAGTCCACGTAAGAGTGGGTTGTTGTTGTAGCCATTAGAACCAATGTAGAGCTGACCCTCCATACTAACAAAAGCTGTTGAGACCTTCAAATCCTCTCGGGTGTAATGAATGGCAAAGTACTGCTCCACTCTAGCTAACCACTCAATCCATTCGTGTGTTCGTCATTCAGCGGCAAGTCAAATCAATTTGTTAGAGAAAAGAATTAAGGAGGTATGTTTTTATTGACCGGAAATTTTTTTTTTTTTAAAAAGTAGAGGAAGTCACAAGACTTTCTCCAACAAGAGCTATAGGCTCTTATCCTGCTACTTAGAGCTTAAAGACTAAGGGTAAATATTATAGAATATTGAATATGGAATCCTACATATTAGGAAGCCTGGAGATTAGGGCTTCAAGATATATGGAAACTTGTTTCCCTACCATATGCCCTCTTGTTTGTATTTATAAGGTGGTGTTTTCTCCGTATGAAGTGTGAGACAGAAAGCTACTCCACAACTCTAAGGAATTCTCTCCTAAGCCTATCAACATGGTATTAGAGTTATCGCTCCGCTTTAGTCACCGCCCATCTAGGTTGGCTATTATGAGTTTTTTGGCAGGTCTTCCTACTGAGTTTGTCATAGCTAGGTCAACGATTCTTAGTAATTCTGAAATCCCTTCAGTGTCACTTCTTATAATGAAAATGTCATCCACGTAGACTTCTAACCCGATAATGCCTGTTCTGGACCACTTGTAAAACATTGAGTGATCCGATTTACCTTTCACCATGCCAAAGCTCTCAACGGCTTGGCTAAATTTTCCAAACCACGCACGTGGACTTTGTTTCAGCTCGTACAACAATCGCCGAAGGCTTCTTTCTCAGACTCCCCCTGAGCAACAAACCCAGGAGGTTACTCCATATACGCCTCTTCATGAAGATCTCCATGCGAAAAGGCATTCTTGATATCAAGCTAATGTAGAGGCCAATCATGAATGACAGCGATCGAAATCAATAACCTGATAGAAGTAAGCTTAACCACGGGAGAAAAAGTGTCAGAATAATCAACCCCATAAGTTTGGGCACATCTCTTAGCCACAAGACGGGTTTTCAATCGCGCAACAGACCCATCAGAATTAAAATTGACGATAAACACTCATTTACAACCAATTAGCCTTTCACTTGCAGTCATAACGACCAACTCCCAAGTACCATTGTGATCCAAAGAATTCATCTCTTCAATCTTGGCATCTCCCCACCCAGGATGGGACAAGGCTTCCTTAACATTTTTATAAATTGAAATAGAATCAAGGAAAGCAATGAAAGAACACGAGTCAGATGACATCCGATCATATGACACAAAAGAGGATATAAGATAAGCACAAATGCATTACCTTTCCGGAGAGTAATCGGACGATCATCATCCAAGACTAGATCCAACGACACAGACGTGGTTTCATGAGTTTTGTGCTGAAGTTGAAACTCAATTTGGTATTCATGTCAAAATTTTACGCAGTGACAATGCTAAAGAATATTTCTTGTATCCCTTTGCCTCTTATATGCATGAGAAAGGTAGGTATGCTACATCTATTATC